CCACACTCTGCTTGTCCAGGACTTTAAATTTGCGACACTCCTCACCAAAGTCCGTGTCTTTCACACTCTTCCACTCTGTCTGAGCCGCTCTCGCTGTACACGTAGATGACAGCAATGAGCAGTAACCATGGCACAGCCTGAACGCTGTGCTGCCTTGAAACGTCTGCCTCCAATCCAGTTAGTCCCTGCTCTTTAGCTCGGTCTCACTTCTCAGGACACAGGCAGAGAACAAACAGACTGCTTTCCAAAATGTACATGAATGGCTTCTAGCTCAATTTCCAAGACTCCTGAAGTGGGGGTAGCAGAGGATGTTAGAAAAGTGGAACAAATAAAGATTTGCTTACCCGTTGAAACTTGTAATTCTCGGCAATCTTATGAGCAGTCTTCGATGGCTACATTCCTAGCAGTACTCTGAATGGCCCATTAAGCTCTACTTGCAGGGCTTCTGCAGCCTAAAGTTCTAAGTGCTCCCACACCCCTCCTGCAATCCAGTTCTAAAACCTACCAACCACATGACCAGATTTATCACATCAACAGTCCTGCTTCTTAGAACCTGTTTTCTGTCTTAGTAGCTTTTCTCATCACTGTGACTAAGGTGACTGAGGATGGGAGGGTTTATATTCTGCTACAGCGGGAGGCAAGCCACAGCAAGAGTGGCTCTCACAGGTTGCAGGGATGTGAGGCACATTTGTGATGAGAAAGCAGAGGTCGGATGCTGGTGCTCAGTTTGCGTTTGCCTCTTTAATCTGTCCATGGGAGAGATGCACCTGCATTCAGGGAGTGCACTCCTTCCTTGGTTGAATCTAGAAATGCCTGTACAGACTCTCCAACAGATTTGACTCAAAATCCAATCAATTGTCAATGAAGATTCATTCACTAGTTCAAATTTCAACAGGCTAACAAATGTTTCTTTGGTCTACTTCCTTTGCCCATGCTAATCTGTCTACAGATCTTTTTGTCCCTCTTCTGGCAATGGTTTGCTACTGGGTTAGGTATTAAAATCAAACTGCCGGCAGAGGGCTAAGCATGGTGGCACACACCTGAATTTCCAGCATCTGAAAGGCTGAGACAGAAAGGCCATGAGTTCTAGGCCAGCCTGATCCACCGGACATCTCAGACTCACTAGAAATGCAGAGTCACTGCCCAGCAGACAGCAGCACACCAGTCAGCTGACAGTAAAGAGGAAGCAGAAATGGGAAGATCACAAACACAAGGTAGCCTGGGAATGTAGTGAGCTCTGAGCTAGCCTGGACTATCTGAGACCTGTCAGAAAAGGAGGGAAGGGAAAAGGAGATTAGAAGGGAAAGGAAGGAGGAAAAAGGAAAGGCAAGGGAGGGGAGGAGGGAGGAGGAGAGAGGTGGGGAGGGAGGGAGGGGGAATGCGGGGGAGAGGATCAAAATCCATCTTCAAGTAGCTTGTTTCTACAGTTAAACTGCAGACATAGATGGCCTGAGGCGACTGACAGAAAAAGAGGAAAGACAGACAGATCAGCCACACATTTCTGGATTCTTCATCCTTGCTACCAAAGACTCTCACCTTAACTAGGTAGGTTTGCAAAACTAGCCCATATCTGACTGCACTGAGAACAATCTGCCAACAGCAGCTAACTCACCGACTCATGTCCACTCACTCAAAAAGTGGCCTCTGGTGGGTTTCACGACCCCAGAATGAAGCAAGCAATTAAGAGTTCCACAAGAGCATCAGTCAGCACCCTTCCTCTGTCAAGGGCTATATAGTAAGGAACGGTTTACTCATGACCGTCACAATCATGCAACCTTGTCATGAATACAATACTTAAAGAAATGAGCCAAGGTGTGTTCCAATAAAATATGAACTAGAAATAAAAAATAAAAGCAAGGGACTAAACCTGCCCTGTGAGCCATAGTGGGCTCTAAGAGTCCCTTTCAAACTGGCTGCTGGCCTCTCTGATGACACAGGTATGGAATTGGGGCTGAGGCTCTGCAGGTCCAGCGGGCTCACAGGTGACGCTGGTGTGACTGGCCCAGGACCACTATTTCAGAAGCAGAGTCTCTGACGTACATATGAACTCAGAGACTGCTGGCAGCATACACAGGGCCTGCACAGGTCCAAGCCAGATGGGATCCCAGTGCTACATAAGAGGGAGAAGTGAACACAAGCTTCTCTCACTAACCAAGTTAGCTCCAACTGACAACCACTTGCAAAGAAAAAATTAGTTTTCTCCAATGGAGTCTCACTGGGTATACAAACCTTACTTGTGGCAAGCCCCATGCCCAGCAGCTGAGGGCCAACAGAAACAAATTCATTGGTATTTCTGTAGATTTTTCATCTCGGGCATTTTCTATCTTAGTGCTCTTTTGCTTGTTTATTTTATGGTCTCTCTCTTTCTCTCTCTCTCTCTCTCTCTCTCTCTCTCTCTCTCTCTCTCTGTGCTTCTTTAATTTATACACTGTTTTGTTTGTTTGCCTTTGTCTTTTTGTTTTCTAAGGAGAGAAAGAGAAGGTGTGGGGTTGGAAAGTGGAGAGGCAGAGAGGTAGAGAGGAGCTGGGAAGAGATGAGAGAGGGGAACCATGATCAGAATATACTTATGGAGAAAAAATATTTCCAATTTAAAATATTAAAAAAATAAATTTAAAAAAATCAGGACCTCAAATTTCACTAGTGATTCTTAAAACTGTCCCATGTCAGAATCACCTAGGGTACTTTAAGGTGATCTAAGGTAAGAGTTCTGATATGAGTGTCATAAACGTTGGCCAGATTACTACAGGAAGTTTCCCAACATACATACAACTAAACACCATATATTAGGGTTTAAAACTGTGATCAGCTGTGTACCGACAGCAACCAACAATCTCCGTCTGCAGAAGCAATGTCACTGTACAATCAAGAGTTAGACTTAATTCTCCTATCTTGAATTTGACCTGACTGTGAATCTTGCTTTGGTCAAAAGATTGTAGCCCAAGGGAAGCAATGTGACTTCTAGACCTTGGTCTTAAGAAATAAGAGGTGCTAGACACCCAATCAACTCCAACTGGTCTTAACACCAGACACATTGACCCTCCAGTCACAAGCCACCCAGCCAGACCAAGAGCAGAGGCAAACTGGCCACCTCACGTTCTGCCCGATGAACAAGAGTGCATGTTTCTAAGTTGCCAAGTACTGGATGTCAAATACTGTAAGATACTGTCAGCCATACACAAGACATTGATGTTATGTTTTATAAAAATGTTAAAAGCTGTAAACCACCTGATGCGACTGCGGTTTCCAGCTGCTGGGCTATGAGATGCCATGAGACGACTTCCTCTGCTAACATTCAAAGTTAAAAGACAAATTATTCTTCTGGCGAAGCTATATATCTCATCCCTTTGAGTCTCCATTTTGAATTATCCAAAACTATCAAGGATCTTGGCCCTAACTCGGACTACTGCTTGTCATTATTTCTCAAGTTAGCTCTAACAATGAAGGTATGCACAGTCAACATAATCTTCAGCATGATTGTGCTGTGCTAGATGATTCTGTACAGTAAACTGATCTTTATGTCAGTTGTTGCTTCTTGGCATTTTTAATTGCTTGTGGTGATAGCTAATCAAAGCCTTTCCTGGCAAAATTTCATCCTTTCTTACTTTTAGTTATTGAAAAAGTTAAATATGCAAATTGAACTAAATACACATATTTAATATTTTTAGAAAGAATATAGTTCTACAGAGACTCAAAATCCTTTTTTGAAAACTCTACTTTCTAATCATACATGTAAGTTAACACTAGACTACAGTGAGCTAATACTTTGTTTTATTTACTAATTTTATGTATCAATATAGTTTATTTAAATTATCACATACAGTATGCAGATCCACACAAAAACTATTCCCAACCTCTAAACCTTATAGCATGCATTCGTGCATTTCATTGCTAAGCAGATATATCTCACCACTGATTCTGAATACTGAACAACTTCTCATTAATTACACCCAAAAGACAAATATAATAGTTCAAAATTGTCTCCCTTAACCTAACTCTTTTTATCTCAAAAAGCTATTAAATAAATCAATGGTAATAATGACTCATAATACTTAAATCCAACTGACGATTTTATACCTAAAAGACATATATGTAAATAGATACATATATAGATACATATCCTCTAAGCTTCTGTAACATAAGATAAGAAACGACCTCCTTCCAAGAGACTGGACACACCAGAGCAAGCAACCACTTACGTGATTACTACTACAAGATAAGGCCAAATTAACTCTTAGGACTGCAGAAATTACAGTATGAAATCAGACTATGATATGATAATGTTTTCAGGGCCTAGAGAAATGGCTTGGGGGTTAAGAACACTGGCTGCCTCTCCAGAGGAACCAGGTTTGATTCCCAACACCCACACAGTGATTTACAACCATCTGTAACTCCAGTTCCAGGGGGATCTGATGCTTTCTTCTGACCTTTGTAGGGACCAGGCATGCGCATACATGGAGGCAAAACACTTGGACACATAAAAATAAATACAACTATTTTTTAAGGCAGAAGGCTGTACATGCCAGTTTTTGAAAAAGCTAACTATAACTAAGATAAATATTGAGATATAACTTCAGCTGCAATATAACCAGCCCAACCTTCTCCCTACCCCTCAAAAATGAACAGACTCAAAACAAGAAAATAACTTTAATGGGCATTATTTTATGATATTAAGATTATTATGGGGGATAGAGTATCATTTTATTCAGTGGTGTAGCCATTGGCAAACTAGCCATAAAATGAATAAACTGTCCAGTAAATAACAACCCTTTACCCATGGCTCAAACAAGCAATGATAATTAACTCAGTGGAGAAAAGATTTATTATACTACAATTGGAAATAAAGCAAATTCACTTTCCTTCTTCCTCACCATCCACACATATGGAGTATTTTATTATATCCACCCCAACATAAAACCAATCAGGTCATCAAAGGAATCATCTCCTAAGACTGATGCTTGAGATGCCTCTAGTCCCAGCAGCCCCTACTCACACATACTTACTGTGTGGAAATTGATCATTTCCTGAAGACTGTCAGAAAACTTGGTCAAACTTGTCTGAAGAAAGAAACCAAAGGAAAAGCAAATCATTTAACAGCTACTAAAATAAGTCACAAAAAATATTACGGTAGTATTTCTGACAGAAAAATCAAATTATCCCGCAAACAGTAACATTTACTTGCAAGGGTAATCTCAATGGCTCACTGGACATGCCCTGCAGGGGTCATGCCTACGACAAGTCTACATGTGACAACACGTAGAGTCCTAAAAAAAAAGTCAAAGAATTGGTACTCCCCATCCACACTGTGTGTAACCCTAAAGGTTTGATATCACCAGTAGTGTACCCTGCGAGCCAGAATGTTCACATGATTATCAAAATATACCTGCTACCTCACTAGTTAGTTTTCATCACGGACAAAGCAGTAACACTACAGAATATAGAAAGGGATCCAAGATGATACATACAGGAAAGCAGGCTAACCATACATACACACCAAGCATACAGTTGAGTCCTATTCTTAGTGTGCTAATACTCTGCCCACCACACATCCAACTACTGGTGACCTCTTTCTGTTCTTGTCCACTGGTGGCTACATCAGCTCACCTGTCTGAATGTAACTTCAATACTGTAAAGCAAGATTTGGGCACTGGTGCTAAATCTGCACATAGCAAATCAAACTTTAATGTACAACTACCTTAAAAAACAGAACTGAAGGCTGGGCCATGGTAGTGCCACACCTTTAAAACCCAGCTTACAGGAGACAGAGGCCGGCAGATCTCTGTGAGTTCAAGGCCAGGCCAGTCTCCAGATCAAGTTCCAGGATAGCTAAGGCTACACAGAGAAGCCCTATCTCCAAAACAAACAAACAAATCAAAAGAAAACAACAAGAACTGCAGAACATGGCTCCCAGGAACGGCAGACCTTCTGCTGGGGCTCTCTGCTTGCTGTAACCATTAATACAGTTAATAGCACACAACCGTGTGCTGCTCTGCTGTTCCCATCATGGTACCTGTAATCTTAGTGATACCAACCTCAACCACAGCATCATTGCTAGAATACTGGGCCAGGTCTCGAATCCCATTCATGAACTGTTTATTTGCAGCACAAAAGGCTTTGCCAGTGTCAATCATCGCGATACACAGTTTCACAAGCTGAAAAAGAGAAAAGAAGACATGAGGAGGGACTGATCTTACAGCCTCACTGAAGAGGGGTTGGTGTTTGCTATGTGAGATCGGCTAGTCAATACAGATTACATTTCATCAAAAACTAGAAATTATTGGGAGAAATTTTCCTTTGCTTTATATAGTAAATGAATTATATCAAAGTCAGCCTTTTAGAACTCAGAGGCTGTCTAACAACACACATCTTTTTATCAAGTCAAGTTCAAATCCATAATTTAAGTATTTATTACTTAAATCTCCTAGAAGAGGAGCCTAGACAGCACAGCAGTAGAGCACTCGCCCGTGTGAAAAGCCCTGAGCTCAGTTCCTGGCACAGAATTAGAAGAAAGGAAGGGTAAGTGGGCAGCAGCATGGTGACAATGTCACTGGATGTGGAACTGGGGAACCCTGGGGTGAAGGACCACAGACCGGAGTCAGAGGTTACTTATGCTGCTCAGAAGCATGCCAGCAGACAGATGTCTCAGACGATTAAACAACCTGTTGGAAGCCACTAGAAGAAAAGCATTTCTTCCCCAATGCCTGTTTTGGGCATTGAATAAAGCCTCGGAACTGAGCCTGCACCAGCCTCCCCGGCTTCTTCTCCCTCATTTATGCCTTTATTGTGACTCATCCACGTGACACCTGTGTGGTATGTACAAGCAGTATGATCAAATAGAACAGGACAGAGCTGGGGTGCAGCTTTGCTGCAGAGGCTGCCTAGCATACCACAGGCTCAAATTCAATCCCTAGCACCAATACCAAAGACAGCTCTAGCACAGGCAACAAACAACAGCATCCAAAACATAGGGGGAAAATATCAGATTTTTAAAGGTACTAAAGTTTTATTGAAATGGAAATCCTTTTCAATGCTTACAAAATATCTGCAAGAACTCATAAAAAAACTAGATCAGAGTGATTCTCCAGCGAAGGAATCAGATGGTGAGCAACTTTCAATGGACACACCTTTGAATTTTATTCCATATAGGTAATGTTACCCAACAAATTAAATGTCAAAGATAATTAAATTAAAAGGAGAGGCTAATACATAGGATAGCATGATTAAAGCAGGATTTTCAGCTCAATGTATTCAGATTCAAATCCTAATGCCACCTAAGAGGGTGTAGGTGACCTTAACCTTAACAACCCTGCATTTCTTCATCTGTGTAATACATAACAAGGGTAATGGTATGAACCTACAAGAAGCTTCTACCCAGACAGACCACGGAAAAATACCTCAGCAAAGCAACTACAGGTGCATGACCACTGCTCAGCAGAGCACCCCGTTCCCTGGGCAAGCTTTCTCACTGATACTTGTTTCTGTTTTGCTTTATAGGAAACAAGTAGTGAACAAGGGAAAGGAGAGAGGCAGCAGAGGGTTTACACAGAAAAAGATACTTTTATTACTAAAAACCAATTAGGAAGCAGAAATAAAAACATTCCCACCAAGCAGAATGAAGAGCACCATGTCAGTCATAAAGCGGTCAGCCACACAGGGCCACGGTGGGGACAAGAGACCTGCGATCCCGAGGGAAATGCACCTAGCATTTCAGGACTCTGCAGCTTTACCAAACATGCAGCGCCTTCTTCGTGTGCAGACTACATCATTTAAGCTTCACACAAGGGGATCCTACTGGGCATGGCAGTGCCTGCAGCATAGCTCTGAGATGCTGAGGCAGGAGAATCACTAGCATGGAGGTTGAAAACCAGAATGATAACAAAATGAGACTCTTGTCTCAATAAATTAAAAAGTATAAGCATGCTTACTTTTTACTTTTACGTATCTTAAGTGAAAGCAGCCATACTTATAAAAATATTTGGAAGAGACAGTCCACAGAGACAGAAGTTAGCTTAGGATACACAGGATAGAGGGAACTTGGAAGCAGCAGCAGGTTCCTCTTTGGGGAAGAGAGAAGTATCTTGGAATTAGACCAAGGTAATGACGTCTAACATCGTGACTACACCAAAAATCATTTTTAAATACATTCTTTATGTTAGGTGAACTTTATCTCAATAAAAAAAATTATACCCCCCCTAAAGTACAATGAAATGAATTTTAAAATTCCTACAAAGGAGGAGAGCAGTGAAGGTACTTGCGGCTAACTAGACATCCTGTGCGTGTGCAGGACAGCTACTACCATTGGTGACACGTACATTTCCCCATATTGCCCCCTCCCAAACAAACAAAAATACAAAACCCTGCCACCTGCCTTACCCCCAAGCCCATTCTTGTCCTGGTCTGTGTGAGACTGAATGCAGGCCTCACAGCAAGTATCTGTGGCTGTGCCAGGCTGCACATCTGGCCTGCCCTGGATCCAAAGATCTTGGTGCTTAAGGCATTAAGAAAATGGCCTGAATTGTTCACGGAGTTTCTCAGCAGTATTTCTGAAAGCATCCCATCTATCAATGATGATCACTGAACACCTTCTCTGAGGTAGACAGTTCTTCAGTCAGCTTCAGATTGCCTTCATTCTGACAGATTTGAAGAGGTCCTGAACTACATGTACATGATACAGATTTCCATGAAGGAGGATGTGGATGACGTCACTGGGTCAGATTCTTGGTACTCAGTTTTCAGATGAACTCCGTTCTCAGAAGTGTGATGTCTAGTTAAAAATAATGGCTCAAGTATGGGATCAGATTAAACTGCCCACTGGAGACACTCAGGATGGTAATAGTGAAGAAACGGGGGTTATGACAGTCCTTCGAGTGACACAGTAGAAGAAACTCTCCCTTCCCAAGTCAGGACAGCAAGTCTCCAATAACTATGCTTAGGGTTCAAAAAGAAATTTTGAAAGAGCTGGGGAGTAAGGAGAATCCACACAGACCCCAGAATCTAAAGATCTGGGGTCCCAAGTGCCTCAAGCCTTTTAACATTTAATGTGAAACTAGCGATGGGGAAAATGGACAGACTCCAGGCTGGACAAGAGATGCCAGTGGCAGCTTCCAAGTGAGTACATGCTTTAGGGTCACCATCAGGAGCAAACTGGCTGTCAGACACATGGCAAGATGTTTTCTAATAATGCAGATTGAAAAGTATGAAAAATCGCGAACAGTGGACAGGCCATTTGTTTATGAAACATGTACAAATGGTTTCACACCCAGGCCCACCTAAAAGAACACCAAAATGTCCACACGGACTAAGTCCTATAGCTGTGAGGTATAGAGAAAGTCACTTATCTATACCCTGAATTAAAGAAACACAAAAGGGTTAACAGCAATCAAAGATTGTGTGTCACATGTGTGACCATGCACCAAGAACCATGCTAGGCACTCTACGTATGATATAACACCTGTGTCATTTTTTTACCACTTCTGTTAGAGAGACAGATACCCTTATTTTCCCTGATTTGAAAAGTAAGAAATCAAGGCCCAGAAATGTTGAGGAGTTTGCTCAAAACTATGTAACTTAGTTACATGACAGTCTCCTGCAAAACTAGGCAGAGCTCCAGGCTCTGTACTCTCAAGCTCAAGGCTCTGCTACAAAATAAAAATTATAATATTGTAGCAGTTTAAAGGAAAGTGCATTCAAGAAATGATGCAAAACAAGAAAGAAAGAAAAAAAAAGCCACAAGTTTTATGGCAATTGAGCTTCAGTTCAAAGGAATCTATCACACAGACAGGTAACACAAACCAAGTGTGCCTGAGAACAGATGCAGTAGACACAGGGGTCAGATCTAGGTGGCAATGGTGAGACACTGTTGTGGCAAACACCAGAACACCTCAGAATGGATAACTGGACCATGAACACCAGCACTCAGAAAGCGTGATTCATACGACGGAACACTACTGCTGGTAGCGCACAATGCATGCAAACTAAACATGGACTAGGTCATCAAACAAGTTCAGTTTGTCTGGTATGACTTACCATGGTACCATAAACAGAACTTGTCCTGAACAATATAAAACCTGTGAGCTGAAGGCAGCACCCTACAAGTCCTTCATGCTGCCACCGACAATAATCCCTATCCCCTGTGTCCCTCATGTTCTACTCTCTGATACTCCATAACTCCAAGACAAAAAGTCAACAGCTTAAGAATTTGAACACCTACATTAATTTTATAAAGACTCAAGAGCTTAACCCAGAGAAACATATAAAATAGCTATGGATCTTTGAGCAAAGAGAAAGGCAACGGTCAGAGAGCAAGATTTTAAATGCTGTTAGTTTTCCACATTCTTCCAGTATTTTGATAAAATGCTGCCAAAAGATCCCCAGATAATACCTATGTATGCTAAGGTCACAGCAATACCATTCAACTGTACAGTATAGGAAATCACTGTCAGGAGAGCTATGTTAAACCTATGCATATGCCTGACCTAGGAATCTGGAGAGATGTCACCACACAGCAGTTACAGAGGAAAGTCTGAACAGCAGGGTCAAAGCCATGTATTTCTCATTCTGATGCTTCTGCCTGGCTCACAGCAAACAAACAAGGACACATATCCAAAACCATCGTCAGTAACAACAGAGAGGATAGGAACCAATGTATGCTTACCCTTACATAAAATTTAATTTAATTCTGGAATTAGCTTAAAAATGAAATGAACATTTTAAATTTTATTTGCATTTGAACTTGGCCACAGTGAAACTTACAACAAGGATTGTCCATGTTATATATGAAATCCATTAAGTATCAGAAAGGAAACATTTTTTGGATGGAAAGACAGGAACAAACTTCTAACAATATAAAGGAAGCTCTGAGAAGTTCTGAGGTGAGGCGTGGACACCAGTTTTGACATTCATCTTTGAATACCAAGTTACTCAACCAAGTCTCCAGCCTTCATTTTCTCATGCAGCAAGCCAGGGTAACAGCGCCTCTCCTCACAGAGATCCCAAGTGAACAAGCCAACTACTGTTGTGGGTGCTAACAGCTCACTGTGGGAAATAAGAGTTAACATTCTCCAGACATAAATGTCAGTTTACCTTGTCGAGCTTTAGTTCCAGCTCAGCCACATCTCCTTCTACTTCCTCCAAAGCGGCCCTAGGAGAATTGGACAGAACACAAGTTAGTTCATCTCTTTAAAGGTATACTTTACTCTTAAAAAACAGATTTTCATTCTAAGGGAGAAGACAGACACAAGTAGTTAAAAGTGACCCTTTATGTAAAGGATGACACAGTAGCACAGACGGTAAAATGACTTGGCTAGCTGTAACATTCATTTGTAAGTACATGTATGTAGGTGGGTATGCGCACAATGACATGGTAAGCACATGTATGTAGGTGGGTATGTGCACAATGACATGGTAAGCACATGTATGTAGGTGGGTATGCGCACAATGACATGGTAAGCACATGTATGTAGGTGGGTATGTGCACAATGACATGGTAAGCACATGTATGTAGGTGGGTATGTGCACAATGACATGGTAAGTACATGTATGTAGGTGGGTATGCGCACAATGACATGAGTGCCACAGAGGCCAGAGGCAGCAGAAGCCCTGAGCTGGAGCTGAGACAGTTGAGCCTCCTGACCCAATGTAGGGAACGGAGTCTGGATCCTCAGCAGGGGCAAGTGGCCTTAGTATCAAGCCATCCTGTCACCCCCAGGACAACTTACTTGTAATCACTAACACGATTCAAATTAGTAACAGTGTTCTGAACTGTTCTGTGTTCTTTTAAAAATGGATTAACCAAGAGCATAAAACACAGAGAAAGGACACCAATCAAATAAAATCATCCGAAAGCCTAATTTCAAAAAAAAAAAGGGGGGGGGAAGAGTAAAAATGTTTTAACAGTTGAGCCTCAACTGACTCTGATTTGTAGACGACGAAGTATACGTAACCAAAGAGCCAGGCAATAGCAATCAAAGGAGCTTTCACTACGAGAAACAAAATAAAAAGTTTTCTCCTGTCAGTATAATTTTAACATAGAAAACTCTGCAAAGGTTAAATAATACAAAAAGAAGAAAGCAAGCAATGGGCCAGAGGCTCTTAATGGCAGCGAGAAAGCAACCAATGCTACCACAGTCCGCAACACGGGAAGCATCTGAAACCAAACGGCTGTTGCACACTAAAAGTCATGTGTAACAAAACACACGTTCCATCTTGAGTCCCCCTCTGGGGAGCCAAGCAGGAACTGTGTGACTGAACACCAGCCACAGCCCGCTTTCTAGAAAGAAACCGCTTTCTTATACCTCCTTGATATCCTAGCAATTCTCCAATAATTATTTTAAGAACTAACCAAAACCAAAACTTGCTTTAATTGTATAGCAATGCAAGACTACTCTCTATTCTCAAGCAACAGACAGCCAGAATATAAACCCTATTTCCTATTTCTGCTACCTGATGACCTTTTATTTTATTTGATAAAATAAATATTCTATCAGCTCCATCTGAGGACACACATTTTTAAAGCTTTTAACCTAAGTTATTCAGTACGCATATGCCATTATCAATGAGAACTTCTTATATATGCTTCAAGAGCACTGGAGGCGGCACACACAGTGCAGAGGCAGGGTACTTCTTCCCGACTGACAGCTCCCCACTGTCTTCACGTATGTTCACAGTACACACTGTTCCCACAGCCTGGAAAACAATCCTCACCCTTACCCTATGCACCATTTAAACTCACTTCACACCTGAGAACAAATAAATGTACCTCCGAGAAGACACTGTAATTGAAACGAAGATGCGCACTAGTCACAACACTACAGACTCGAGTGTCTTTTCCTTAGGTAAGAAAGCAGGTGTCTACATGAGGCTGCAAGGCATGCAGCCTCGCACTCGGGGCGCAGAGGTGGGGGATCCTACTGCCTGGGAGTTCTCAGACAACCTGGGCAACACCCTCATCTCAAATACACAAATGAAGTTCATCGTACTGACAGGAGAATATGTGTGTGAGACTAAACTATTACAGTGACAGAGGAGAAAACTACACAATAGGATGACATAAGCCCAAACTTATGTGGGGGGAAAAACCTTGGAGACTCATAAAAAAATATCTATAAGCAGATTTACCAATCTGAGCTGTAACACAGAACAACTGGGATTGGAGAGCAGGCTGCATAAAGAAGGATTTACACTCTAACTATTTATACCCCGGATATGTCAGTATTTCAATGATGTTACATTTTATTAGACAACTCAACAAGTGGCTTCCTTTGGGACTTGTCCCCTCACTCAGGCTATATGACAAACATCGGTGAACCCTGAAGGATGTGGGGCACATCTCTCCCACCATCCACTTCTCTGGCAGTCTGAGCCAGCTATGCCATGCAGACAGCCACGGCTGCAGACAGCCTCAGGTGTGCAGAGGCTCAAAGAACTGCTGAGTTAAAGGACAAGCCACTCAGTCTGGCTTCTGGGGACTTCCTTTACATTTAGGCTTTACCTTAGCTCAGTTTTCTAATTATTATTTTAAAAATAAGCAATGTTAGATTCGTTACATCACTGATCTTTACTAAACATGAACTCACAGACTGATAACACTTTATATATTGTTCAGTTATATTTCACTGGGTAATCCTACAGCTTTATCTATAAACGTGAGAATGAGTTAAGGCCGGTGCTGGCAGAGTGTTCTGTACCTAGCTACTGAGAGTGAGGCAGGAAAACAGCTAGAGTCCAGGAGTTCATATCAACTGGTAATAGAGCAAGACCATTAAAATAAATAAATAAATAAATAAATAAATAAATAAATAAAACGTAAGAGGCGGGGGAGGGGCTGTAAGGACTGACTCAGTAGGAGATTGTCCCTGACATCAGACAACACTGGCACCCTGACTCTCAGGTGAGGTCTGGCTGCTTTCACTTCTGTTCACTGGTGTGATAGAACCATGGTCAGGCATGTACTGCATGAAATGATAAGCAAATCTACTCAACCTTCCTTCAGCCTCTGCATGGAGCAATCGCTCCTCGGCAACTCTCCCAGGAATCACTAAGCATAAAACTTTTCTAAGTGCAAATCGTTACAAAAGCCAAAATTACAGGCTCCATTTCTTCCACAGCTTAAAATTTAATGTTCAAAAAAAAAAAAAAGAGAGTCAGGGGCTTGTGAGGTAATGCAGTTGCTTTATAAGCATAAGCACCCGAGTCTGACCACAGGGCCCACATGAGAATGCTAGGGTGACGCTGTGTACTTACAGTCCCAGCACAGGGAGGTGAGGACAGGTGCCAGGACTCTGGCCAGACAGAAAGCATATCTCCAAGGAGGAGGATACCTGTCCTCTGGCCTACACACATACACATACACACACACACACACACATCAACAATCATGCATGGACACACATGAACAAAACACATGCATGCACATGCTCGCACATACACATGAACATACATACATGTACATGTTCCACACACATGAACAAGCATGCACATACACACATGCTCTCACACACACGTTTGTTTGGGTTTTGTTTATTTTGGTTTTCTGATTTCTGGTTTTTTAAGGCAAGGCAGCATCACCACCCTTCACGTCAACTTTGGCAATATCCTTACAATGGATTAGCCAAACTAGCTCATACAATTTTGCAATAAAAAAAATGCAGGAACAAGACATTCAAGATCACTAATAAGCACACAAAAGTCCTCTAGCAATTAAAAGCAGACTGGACACTCCAAATTCTGACTATCTGCTAAGGAGTTATAGAGTAACAATAAATATTCAAAATGTCACACGGGGCTGTAGCTCACTGCTGAGGTACTGCATGACTGTGAGCAAGGCCCTGGATGTGAGCCCAACATCACACACAGAAAGTTGCACGTGCATATGTGCTTGAATGCATATAATACATAGATTTGAAACTAACATTCGTAGGTCTTGTTTTATAAAATGACTCTATTCCAAGAAATTATATACACACAGAATAAGCATTTATACTCGAACTGCTGTGTGTGTCATGGTTAAATATAATCCCTAGCCAACTTCCTCTTTCAGCTCAACAGCCTTTTCCAACTTGAGCAATACTGGACTACTCTTTACAAAGAAAGAACAATGGCCAGATCCAGGACAGCTCACTGATCTAAAGGCAGCCAACCCTGTGACTAATGGCCAAGAAAGAGTGACCGAAAGTCCCCACAGCTCCCCGTGACAGTGAACAGAAACCCTGGAAAGTCATTTCCTCAAAGAAATCTCTCATTAAATCATTTCTATCATGAGTGGCTACTCACTTACCTAGTAAAGTCTAGATCCATTCTATTTGATCTCTGTGAGGCCTTTATACTGAGGGGCAGGGAAATTGAGGAGTTTTTATGACCTTGTCTTTATATCTTACTAGCTATATGAACAAACTTGATTCCATTTCATCTACAAAATATAAATAACAAGGTCCCCTGGAGTAAGTGTGACCAATTTTGAAGACTTTGAAAACTGTAGCGAAGCGTCAGGCACTTGGCAACAGATGGCCGCCTACCCTCCAGTGCTGAATACACACCAAGGTCTCCTAAACCTGATTCCAACCCAGGCCAGAGGACTAGGGATGACAGCAGGGTGCTAAAAAATCATTTTGGTTCCCAGAGTCATCCTCTCAGAGCCAGTGTAAACACAGGAAAACCCACTCTGAGATCAGAACAAAAGAAGCGAGGGCTTTAAACTCAGGAGACCATTCCCAGACACTACAAAATAACAGAAGTTGCTTTGTTTTTTAAGTCCCAATGAATGGAATTAAAAGTTCCGCCTTTGTCAATGATCTTACAAATATTACAGCCACCTCTCTTTCCTCAAACTGTAACCAACCAAACTTGCAGGCTCCAAGGAGAAACTCGAAAATGAAGATAACAAAAAAAAAAACGGAAAAACAAGTAAAAGGCAAATTTTCACTCTTCCTGTCAATATGAATCCCTACAAAAGACGTGAAGCTCTTCAAGCCTGTCTCAGCACCCATAAAAGGATAGGGTCGGACTGGGCCTGCAGTACTGCTTTAAAATCAACAGTCCATTATAACAGCATTCTAAACAAGCCTAAAACCTAAATCTGATTCTCTTTTTCCCAAAAGAGATTTTCTTTAGGCTCTTGCTTGTGAATTAGTTAAAAACGAACAA